TACAAGAAAATCCATTTAAAATAAGGAAAAAAAAGAGGGTTTTTTTGCGTAGATGAGCGGTCCTGTTGGCTATGATGGAAATTGGGTAATTCAGAGAAATTTCTATATCATTGTTACTGTTTTTCTTATGCAGAACTACCAATGAAATAAAAAACTTGCAGTACCTACCTCGAACCAGTGAACCCCGTGAAATGCTATTTGAAGACCGGACCCGAGCCCATGCGGATCACATAGGACAAGGTTTTGAACGACAGACCACAGCTGCTGTGGGGGTGTTGAAGGCTGTGCACTGTGGAGAGTGGTAAGTGTTGATTGCCTTCACCTAGGTGTCTGAAAAATGTTTGCCTGAATAGCCATTTATAATTGGAAGGGAGTGCAGAATAGGTTAATCTAGGATTAAAGATTCAATGAAGACTTCATAGGTGCTGGCTGAGCATTAGATGTTTGTCTGCCCTCTTTAGATTGCATGTGGCTTTGCTGTGTGGTTGAAACCAGAAAGGTACCTTGCAGTGACAGTTCAATTGCTATAATTGAGTTGCTGTTACTGAGGTCGTATTAGATGTAAAAACACCTCACACTTCATTTTGCTTCAAGTGGTGTACAGAGACTGAGCTGTTACTGTGGCAGAGGTGCACATGGGGAGACCTTCTGGTAGTTTTTTTGTGGTGTCTGGAGATAAGCAGAATTCTTACACTTCTGCTTCCCAAGTTATGGCTGTTATAACCTTGATTTATTTATGGAAGCTCACCTAGGAAGAATCCTGTTGGAAGTTAGGTGATCTTTTGGATGTCTGTCTTTAGAATTCCTGTGTGAGATTCAGGAAATGAAATGTGCCTCATTTGAAGCTTGCTTACATGTTAACTAAATAAAAAACCCATAACCAGGTGGACTTCCTGGTCCTGATCGAAGAGGCATTTTTCAACATCTTCAGACTGTGAAGAATGGCCTTAGTTTTGGAGGTTACCTTTGCATATGTAAACACTATAAATACCTCTTCTCTTGGTGTCTGTCTAGAAATTAGAAGAGTGAATCCCCTTTGGATAAAATGATGTGAATTTGTGTTACAGTGCATGAGTTCATTGACATAGAAAATAGAATAATTGTCATTGGGGAAGAACTGGATTGTTCAGATGATGTGTTTGTCTCTTGGGCTCTCAGGTTTTCAGTTTCCTTCCTCTTCAGGTTGATGACAGTGGGAGCCTTCAGCTTCCTGCTTGTTCTGACTGTGCTATGCTGAATTAAGACTGAGCAGTGGCAGGGCAAGAGCTGAGATAACTGTGTAGATCTGAGTATTTTAAATTACACTTTGCACATTTGAGAAAGGGGCTTGCAAAGGAAGCAAAGAAACCAAACAAAACCCTACTCCCCAAACTTGGAAGTTTGTGGAGATCAAGAAGTTCAATTGATAGTAGTTTAAGTGTCTGGGAACTTCCCATTCTTGTCCTGTAGCTTTATAGCATACTGGAAAGTCCTTCAGTTTGGGGAATAAGAAAGAAGTATCAGCATTTCATTTCAGTGTAAGGACTTTTAATTAATGTATCTTTTAATTCAGAATAAAAACATTGTAACTGATATATGGAGAGGAGTAAAATATACAACACAAGCAACACAATAAAAGGTATTTCAGGCTTGATTTGACCTAAATTATAATTCCTGCTTTCCATTTCCATTTTTGTGTAATTTTGAAAAGCCACTTGTATTTACATGAAGAGAACTAATAGAGCTTATGATAATGAAGCATCCTGGATTAATATAGCACATTAAAATTATTTCAGGTATTAGTTTTGCCATAATTTGCAATCTGTGGGTAGATTTATTTTAAAGGAAACAACATAAATGAAAGTTTGAAAAAATCTAATTTTTATTTTTGTTCAGTTTTGTTTCTTTTTTAAATCTGTTTGAGTAGTTGAACAAATCTGAAAAGCTGGAGATATTCTGGGGTGATTAAGGCACTATGGCAGTAAAAATGCACATGTTCTAGTGATGAGGTAATGTATGTAAAAATAATGCTTTCTGTGAGGAGAAAATAAAACAATTCCTGGGCTGCCTGAAATAAACCCATAAAAATGGATTGAGTGTGCAAAAAAAAGCTTTATAAGTTGCTGTAGATTTAAAGGAAGTAGGATTTATTTCCTAGTTAATAGGGATGAATGTTAATGCTAGATGGGATAAATGTTGTCTTTCAGAACAGATAGGAACAGAACTGTTGAAAAGCCAAAAGCAGGATATGGTGCTAGAGGACAGACATGGAAACTAAATATGTTATTTTGAAGAAGAAAAAAATATTTGTCCTTTCCTTAGTGTGACAGAATTTTGATTTGAGATATTTTATAAAATTACTGTATTATGATCTTCTTTTCATTGCTTTGAGTATTTACAATTTACAGGAGAACTCTGACGATTGCTAGCAAACATTTTAAGGATTGAACTAAAATCTGATAAATGCAGGTGTGATCATGCTGATTACTTAATGCCATTTTCATAGGTGATACCAGGTGAGCTTTAGAGCTTATTGAAGTGCCAGTGAAATTTTAAATTATGGAAATTTATAGGACTTTTATATGGAAATTTGGATTTTTACAGGGACAGCAAAAGGCACTTGGTAGTATGGTTATGGCAAGATGAAACCTGTGCTTCAGCAAGTAGTGTTCAAGTTTGTGTTCTAGAGACTGAAATTGTGCTTTTCTGTGAGATCATAGGAATTTCTTATATATTGCCAGTCTTTAAGCATTAGGCCAGAAATATTAATAGTGAAATCTCTGGTTTTGAATCTGTTTTGAAAAGTCACAGCAAAAAAAGACTCCAGTCCTTTTGCAGAATGATGTTAAGGGGAAAAAACTGCTAGAACTGCCAAAATCAGTTCTAGTAGTTCTGTAGTAGAGGCTTAAATGGGTTTTTCTGAAGTTATCTTATGTTTTTTTTTTCATTTAATGTCTTTTTGGACATTATCTGAACTACCGTGTTATAATTTAGCTTGGGGGTAGATACCTGATACCTAAAATAAAGTTTTTGCAAAATATTATCTCAAAGTTGTGTTAAAGATAAAATCTGCAAATTAATAATTTAAAATTATCTGATGGCATTTTTCTCAGTTGTTTGCAAAAGAAATGTTGTGTTCTGTGACAGAACTGCAGCACAGAGCTGGTGATCCATCATCCTCTTGGATAGATGTATATGGACTGAGGCTAGGAATGACAATGCATTAACCAGAGTAGACACCACTGAGAGAACATATTGATTTGGACTGAAGTTCTCTAAGTGTGCAGAATATTCTTTCAATTGATCTTAAGTTTTAACTTCATTTACAAATACTGGGGACTCCAAAGGCAAAGTCATATTTTAAAACTAAATACCTGCATTATAAAAGGTAACTGAATGTAGTTAATGTTTTTAATACCACTGCTTAGAATTGTTTCTGAAGCTTTTTGCTTTCAGTGTTTAAATCGGGAGTATATAGATCAAAATACAGAGACACATTTTAATCTTTAATAAGTAAAATATGTGGTCTGAAAAGTCTTTCTAGCATATTTGCAGTAGTTTATCTGGGATATTTTTTTTCTCCTGAAAATAGCCTCAGACTGGTTATTTTTGCTTTATTGAGGCCATGACCTAAATAAAATAAACATGTCTCCTATATTTAAAAAGCCTGAATGAACAGGCTTGTACATCATTGCCTGCTTCCTAGAACAGTAATAACAGGACACATATATCTTTATATAAAAATAGGTGCTTATCTTGCTTTTAAAAAAGGGCTCTTGAACGTCTATTAGATTCTGAAATGTTTCAGCTCTGCTGTATCAGCTGCTCCCCAGGCCCCCTACATCTACTTGTACCCTGTTTTGGAGGGGTGGAAGTGGGGTGAGGGATGTCCTGCAGGGGTGGCAGGCACCAGCCCGGCCCTGCAGGTGGGACAGGCAGGAGGGGAGCAGCGGATTCTGATCCCTGGTCCCACTGCCTGGTCCCCGTGGGCAGCGCCTGGACCCGCAGCCTGTGCCCGCTGCGGGCCGAGGAGGTGCTGCATTCCCGAGGGACTCCAGAGGGGGAAGGACAGACATCTCTAACTAGCTTCTTTCTGGCTGAGAAACTGTCCTTGCAAAACTACTCCAAGGTGAGCTTTATCCTTTGTAAATAAATCTTTCTATAATCATATTTAAATTTAAAAAATCCTTCTAAAATGCAAACATCCCTCAAAAGCAAGTGGAGCTTTTTTTCTCTGTGTTTTCACTGAGGAACAGAGTTTGGCCTTTAGATCAGGAAGTTACAAGGATTGTAGATGATTTTGCCTTTTGTGAACTGATTCTAGATTGTATCTCCAGAGGAGCTGTATTAATGGTATGTATTTCTTTGAGAGAGATGCTTTGGAACTAGAGATGTTTCTCCTAACAATTTGAATATGGAGACAAAGCCTAATTCAAACTTTGATCCTGTGTAGCTCTCTCTAGTGTGCATAAATAGGGATGTATTTTTAAAGGGATGTTTTGTGGAAGTTGCCAGTATTGGCTGATTACTGGCATTGTGGCAGCTGAACTGTAGGTTCAGCTTTTCCTCCTAGTTCTGAGCAAGGTGTTTGAGGCTGAGGTGCCAAGCAGTGATTGCCATGGTGCTCCCAGTCAGACTGCTATGTGCTCAGGTACCTGATGGGTGCACCCTGTTGGAGTGCCGGCAGAGTAAGCCAAGTGTATCTGAGACAGCTACAACATCTAGGCAGCCAAGAGGCCAGTTAAAAATAGAAATGAAAAACAGTGTGTTTTGTTGGCCTTTTATTGCCGCCTTTACTTACACTTATAAAGAAACTGTAGTTAATTTGTTTAACCAGTTTAATGAGGTTGTGTTTTAGAATTAACTGTTCTGATCAACTTCTTTTCTTACTGTTGGTTATGGTAGAATTGTTGCATTTTTTAAGTTAAAAAATTTGCTTTATCCTTTCTTGCAGACTTTTTGTTATTTTCTGCAGCATGGTAGTTTCAGCCTCTGACTGTGCACTTCTTACTCTTCTGTAGGTCTGAGCAGCCTCGTATAACCAAAGATGTAATTTGTTTTCATGCTGAGGACTTCTTGGAGGTAGTTCAGCGAATGCAGCTAGATTTGCATGAACCTCCACTCTCACAGGTAATCGCACTAGGAACTGATGGGCAAGTGTCCTGAGTACTAAGTCAGAGTTTTCACCTTTCCCCACCTTTTTCCTACAGTGTGTCCAGTGGGTTGATGATGCAAAACTTAATCAGCTGCGAAGGGAAGGCATTCGATATGCCAGAATCCAGTTATTCGATAATGACATTTATTTCATCCCGAGGAATGTTGTGCACCAGTTCAAAACAGTTTCAGCTGTGTGTAGTTTGGCTTGGCACATCCGGCTCAAGCTCTATCATTCAGAGGAAGAACTCTCTCAAAACACAAATACTGTTGAAGCAGGGACCTCTGCAGACCCCAAGTCTTCGGTTGTTGGACTTCAGACTGACAGAATTTGTACTGTGAGCAAAGATACCACCGAAGACACCAAATTCCCAGATGCTCTGCAGACCAAGTACCTGCAGCAGGAATTTTTGCCGATAAAACATGAACCTCTTGCATCTCTCCGAGTAAAAGAAGAACCCATGAATGTTGATCTTGTTGAAAAGACAGTGACACCTAATGACGTCGGGGGACAGAATGTTCAGGCTAGGCTGGGTCACGCTGAGTTGACATCACTAAAGTTGGAAATGGATTCTAAATTTGAAACCTGCAACAAGGACTTACAAGGCAAGTTGTGCTCTGGAGGTCACGTACATCCAGATGATACAAGACAACCTAGCTCATCATATCCAAAATTGCATGGACAAAGAGAGGATGATTTTTTGTGCTGAATTTGTATATAAGGTTTTAAATTCCTTTTTAAAGTTAATGATGTAATAATGTAAAGATCATAAATTGTGAGGCAAGTTTGTGACTTGCCTTCGCATCTGTTACAGAAAATAGTTATGTAGCTTTGTAACATTCCTCAGTGCCTGTCCATAACTGTGAAGTATCAAAGCACTTAGGGCCAGATGCACTGTAAACACTGCAGGTTTAACATAAAGAAGTCTTTAAATAATTTTGAGTTGTAGGTTTTAGAGTAGAGCTGACATTTAACATATATATTTTTTGTAAGATGAGCCAGAATTCTTTTTGACAATTCCAGGCTTTTCCATAGAGCTTATTTATACCAGTTTTTTCATTTTAAATGTGTCAGCACTGTAGTGTAAATATCTTTTTTAAGAATCTTTTTAGTGTGATTTATACTGAAATGTGAGCCGCTTAATAAAGGTTCATAATAACAGATTGGTTTTATTTTTGGGTCTGCAAAAAATAATTCAGTTCAACTGCCTCTCTTAGTGGTTATGTTTCTACCTGCCACTAATGCATAGGATGTCCTTCCGCCATGAGGGTGAGGAGCTGTAGCAAACTGAGGTAGAGCTGAGGCATCTTTGTAAATGCAGATTAGTCAGAAGGCAGAATCAGTCCTCCCTTCACACGATTTCTTATGGTGGCTTGTTCCAGGCACTCCCCAAACTCCTGCTGTCAGATACTCATGTGGAATAGGGAGACAAACTGTCTGTTTGGAGAGCAGCTGGACATGCAGTGGGCTCCAGGAACGCTACCGGTACCTGCTTGCATCTCTCCAGATGATTTGTGCAAGGGAGCAAACTTTCTCCTGGGCTTTGCCTCTTGGCCCAGCTCAGGGCACAGTTCACATAAAAAGTGAGTTCCACTTCACATTAAAAAAAAAAAAAACCTCAACAAAAAAAAAACAACAAACCCACAAAACAAGCCAAAAAAGCAACCACTCCCTCAAATCTGTTATCTGACTGCAATTAAAAGAATATTTAAGTTGTTACTTACCAAGCTAAAAAGGCATCAACTTTGGCAGTGGCCTGTAATTCAGAGAGATACCTGGCTTTGAATTGCTCCCTGTGCTGATAGTGCCAGGCAATAAAGAGGCTGTGTTGCCAGGATGTGTAGTGGGAAGGTTCCTCATGAGTCACAGTTTGGAAGTGAGAGGTGTTTCATTGAGAAAATAATAGCAGTGCCCAAGTTAACTGTTCTCTTTCCCCATCTGTGGAACACTTGGATTCTTTTAGGTTGTGTTCTGAGGGAGGAGAATTTCAAGGCTAGCCAGCATCTGATCTGGTAACTCTGCCGTTTAACCTATTTATTCTCTGTGTGTTGTACTCCTGTGTAGTTCAAACGCCGCTGGATGATGCGTCTCTCTTGAACAGCTGCACACAGCAGTGAACTGCCCTACAGACTGTCCTTCAGCTAAATATGTAAAACTTCAGATCCAAGGCCTATTATTTCCAAAGCCCTTTATCTCTGATTTTTCTTGGGCATTTTCTGTGTTAAGTTTTTGTAAGTTGTACATCCTTAAGCACCCAGTTTATAAACTTTGCAATTAGTGGTCACTTCAGCTTCATTTGTAGCAATAGAAAAATGTGATTTTTCAGGCAATGTCCAGTTCAAGTACCTGAGGTCCTTCTGTTGTAAATGCTTTTTTCCTTATAGGTTGTTAAAATTTAAAATGTTACTGCATACTCACAGGTGTTATTAAAATCAGATATTTATTAGATAAGTGCCCTGATTGGTTTAATCCAAAATAGTTTTGTCAAGAAATTATTAATTAATATTTGAATTGCTAAACATTGCTCCTACATAGCCATAAATATGTATTAGAGAAGCAATAGAAATGTGAGTCTCTTGGATGTGGCTAATACGTCCTTAAGTCTTACTACTGTTTTCTTTAATTCTGGCTAAGAGATTACTACCAGTTTGCCAGCCTCAGGGATCTTTCTTTCCCCTTTGCTGTGAGCAAATGATTAATGGGTGATGTGGTAAATTATTGCTCTAGCAGATTCTGATCTGAAAAAATTAATTTGTTCACGTAAGAATTTGATCCTTCCTTATAGCAGGAATGTAGTCTCAGCTCCCTTTATTGTTTTCTGGATTTTCTGGAAATAATGCTTCCACCTGTAATCTCTGGCTTTGTGAACATCCATATACAGTTACTTGGCCATCCCTGTTCTCTCTGCTGCCCATGGGAGAACAGCAACAGAGCAGAGCTGCAGGCTGTAGCTTGCACCAAGCATGCAGCTCTGCAGGTGGGATAGATGAGGGCTCCAGCTTTAGCCAAACCAGCCTTGCCAGATACTGCTTTCAAAAACAAAAACCACACCAAAAAAAAAAAAAAATCCCAAAACGATTTAGTTGACTCAGAATAACAATTTTACCAGTGTGCTGGTTTTGCATATGTTGACCATTTGTTTGGGTTCAAGTCATTTTTGGTAACCTGTTAGATTTTAGTGAGGTGTGGACACATATCCCCCAGAACAGCTGCCAACTTTCTGCAGCATAGGCCTTGTCCAGACATAAATAATAAATCTTTTAAAATTATGAGCAAATACAACTTTATACTTATTAGTAGAACTTTGTTTCCTTTTGGAGACCTGCTCAGTGCTCTTGGCTGATGTGGTCTTGAACTTTTGCTCAGGTATCTTGGTCCTGAGATTTTGCTTCTGAAGTGCCCACATATTCAACCCATTTTTTCCTTACCACTTTTAGAATTTTAAGAGATTTTTTAAAGTGGCAGCTTTTTTGCAGTTTTAATGTATTCTTTTGGTCTTTTGAGACAGACTAGATTCTCACTTTAGGCATAATTCCTTGCAGACAGAATTTATACCATATTGAGATTTTCAATGGCTACCAGACCTCCCTTTGCATTTATGGATGTCTGCAGTCTGGGCTGGCGGCTGCATTACTGTTTACTTTTTACTTGCTTTTTAAAAAAAAAGATTTAAAAGAAGTGTCCTCTCCCGATGGTATGTTCATTTCAATGAGGTTGTCCTTTGAGAGGGGAGTACTTTTTCTGAGAATTTCACCTCCCAAACTGGTCATTAATCTGACAAAGGCCTTGCTTCAGTCCAATGCTATAGCCTTTATTCCTGCTACATACAACTTCATTTTCAGACTTTTGCTTCAGCAATAAATCTTTCATGTGTTCTGCTGTACTGAAATTAGTCCTTGCTTATTGCTTTTCCCCCTTCTCTGGATTTTGGTGATATATAAATCTTTGTTATTTTGGCTGAAATCTCCAGTGTTTTAGTTGTCTCTCTTGGCCCTTGTTCTTGTGCAGACTGGGGAGAGCTGCCTGACGCCATTGGTGCTGTTCTTATCTCCCTGTACGTGCAGTGGTGTACCAGTTAATAACATGATGTGCAGAAAATTCGATGCTTTCCTATTTCCTAGATCCTGGTACATATTCTTGGGTAGCAAAGAATTACATTGTCACAGTTACTAAAAAGGTTTTCAGGGGGTTGGTTCCTTTTTTTTTTTTTTTAATGTTACTGGATCTTTTGCATTTCACTAGCAACTGACTTCATGTGTTACATACAAGTGTTACTCAGTGTTGTGTTACCCCCAGCCCTCCAAATGCCTGAAAATTGACTCTGAAAGAACATTCACATTACAGGTACTGCTGGCATGCAGATTTTCCCTTCCTTGTTACTATAGCGAATATTTCAATACTACTTTAACTGAAATATTAACTCTCTCTAGTATTAGAAATAAAGTATTATTTCAGAGGGTGATGATTTAATTCTTCATCTGTGAAAGAATTCTGTGGTGATAAATAAAGTTGATTTTTAAGTGGATATACCATGTGCACAGTAAATAACTTGGAATTGCAAAAGATGTAGGAAATGGAAATCTGAAATAGTAGAATGCTGCAAAGGCAATCCGAACATTACAGATTTGGAAAATTGAGTAAGTCTTCCAAGAAATACAAGACTGGTATTCATTTATCAAAATGACTGTTTTTTAATATCTGCATGTGAATAAGATGCTGAATTGACCAAAATAAATCCATGATTTTTCCTTGTTCATTGGCAGAATGAACAATGTTGTGAGATAGTACACTGCCACGTGACCCTGCTAGGCTGAAAGCTGTACTGATTCTGATCAAGAGATCAAAGAGCTCCTCAAGCTTCTCAAGTGTAATTTTATTTATTTTCTTGTAGCAGTCAGGTATGTAGAGAGCCTTGTGTTTAGGCAGCTCAGCACCTGTACCTTACCAGGATGTATCCAAGCTGGAAACGGAAAGGACAAGTTTTCACTGCTTTGTGCTTTGCTGTCAATGACTGTCAAGAATGTTTGATTTGATTATGAGTCACTGTGTTCAGCTGATATTTTATTACTTTCTTAAACAGATGAAATGCACTTTAAAATTGTATAGACATTACTGATATTTTGTGCAGATCCCACTGAATTTGCAGCATATGTGGGAATATTTGGGGAACTGATTCTCATCAGTCACTCATTTCATTTTTCTTAAAAATGTGAGTTATTTTGTGTTCTGTTCAGAAGCAGTGATTGACTTCACAATATTTAGGTTGCTGTTTCTGTTAGAATCATCAGGGATCCTGACGTTAGAAATTTAGTGTATTATATTCTAACCACTGTTTTTCTCTGTGCTTTGATGCTGATATGATCTCTGCTTTGAAGCCGTGCTGTACTTGAGTGCCAGCTAAACATTGATCTTCTCTTGTTCTGGTCATGCTGATAGATGAGTCTACTGATGAGGGCGTTAGTCCTAAATAGTCCTTTAATATTTGGTGTACAGTTACCTGATACAAATGTTGATTAAAACAGCAGTTTAAACTTCTATTTTTATCAAGTTTGATTTTTCAATAGCTATTTTGATACTATGTTTTATCATTTAATATGCCATCCACTGGAATGATGGTGCCATGTTGGGTGCAGCTCAGGCCTGTGTTCTAAGGACTGTGCTTTTTATGGGAGCTTTTTCATCTGGTTGTGTTGAGACAAAGTGGGGCAGTTAGAAGAGAAAGCTTTTCCTTGTGTCTGGAGATGAAAACTTTGAGAATTAGACCTGTGTGGGAGACTATGTAACATAAGACTGCTAATTCTTTATTCTTAGCATGCAAGAGTAACACTCAGGTACTTGCCAATGTGAACTGAAGCAATTGAGAGTTCTAGGTAATCAGAGAAATGGAATTTTTAGATTATCAAACATCTTTAAGAGGTTATTTTTTCATGAACTTCAGAAGGAACACTGAGATAAAAATTAAGGCAGATGAACTAAGCTCACATTCTCATTGTTTTTCTGTTTCTTGCTCTTAGGCTGTTCTGCACTGTAGGGAGACTTTTCTTATATTTGTCTGCTTGGGATGTTGGTTTTGTTAGGAAAGGCAGATCAGAGGGAATGGTGTCAATGAGTTGCAAATTTTTCTATTCTTTATCCTACTTCAGTACAAGTCGGAGGAGAAAATGCAGAA